AACACAATACCCGGATGTAGATCTTCTATCGGAGGGAGATCCTGCCCAATCGGCATCCGAATAGCGAGACAACTCTTGTATGATTATGGGAGTCATACACCAAACCTTTTCCAGGAGACTTTTTGATGTACTTCAATATACGGATGACTGCATTCCAATGATCTTGACAAGGAGAATTGAGGAATTGACTCACCACACTGACTGCAAAGGAAATGTCGAGGCGAGTAAGCGTAAGATAATTTAATTTTCCAACTAATCTTCTATACTTGTTCAGGATCCGACATTGGTTCCCCCTTATTTGGCAAGAGTTTGGTATTAGGATCCATGGGTGTGTCAACAGGCTTTGAATTCATCAACCCAGTTTCCTCCAAAATATCCAATGCATACTTTCTTTGAGATATAACAATGCCATCGGTAGATTGTGCTACCTCAATACCCAAGAAATATCTCGAGTTTGCCAAGATCTTTGGTTTGAAAATGGTGGCAAAGGTGTTGTTTCATCCGAGAGATGCCATGATGGTCACTACCTGTAAGAACAATGTCATCGACATACACTATCAAATAGATACATCCGAGCATTCGAGTGACGGTAAAAGGCCGAGTGGTCTGCCTCACTTCTAGTCATGCCAAATTGTTGAACAACGTCGCTAAATTTTCCAAACCAGGCCCTAGGAGACTATTTTAGGCCATATAAAGATTTGCGAAGACGACATACCAATCTAGAAGACTCCCCCGAGCAACAAATCCAGGAGGTTGCTCCATATAAATCTCTTCTTGCAAATCGCCATTCAAGAAAGCATTTTTGACATCCGAGTTGATAAAGAGGCCATTGTTGAATAGCGACCATGGCAATGAATAAACGAACGAAGCCATCTTTGCCACTGGAGAGAAAGTATCACCATAATCCAACCCAAAAATTTGGGTATAGCCTTTGGCTACAAGGCGAGCTTTGAGGCGATCAATAGTACCATCGGGACCAACCTTGATAGCGAAGACCCACCTGCAACCAACAACAGATTTTCCGGATGGTAATGGGACAAGCGTCCGGGTTCCACTAGTCCGAAGAGCACCGAGTTCATCTAGCATGGCCTGACGCCAACCAGGGTGGGCTAAGGCTTCGAGAGACAGATTTAGGAATAGACACGGAAGAAATAGACGAGAGACAGGTATAAAATGGTGAAGAAATTCGATGATAACTTAAAGCGAGTATAATGTGGAGAAGGATTACGAGTAGAACGCGTACCTTTACGAAGGGCAATAGGAAGGTCGGACTCGTGGACGGAACCGGAGGAGGCAGAGTATTTGGCACTGGTAGTGAGTCATGTGGCGTACTGTTGTGGGCGAGGTCTGCGACTATAAACCTGAAGGGGTGGTGGAGGAGGAGGGGCTAATGGTGGATGGTCCTCAACATAAGGATCAATGAGAACAGAAATGGGAACTGTAGCGAGATGGAGACTCAGCAGGTAGGGAAGGGTCCTTAAAGTAAAAGGAAAACTCATTGAAGGTGACATCGGCGAGACACAAAATAGCGATTAAGAGAAGGAGAAAAACACTTGTATCCTTTTTGGGATCGAGTAAATCCTAAGAAAACACATTTGTGTGATCGAGGAGATAACTTATCATGACCAGGATCAAAATTGTGGACAAAACAGGTAGACCCAAAAACCTTCGGAGGTAAAGGATGGAGAGTGTCATGAGGAAATAAAATAGAATGGGGAATTTTGTTATCTAAAACCGAAGAGGGCATACGATTAATAAGATAACGAGCGATAGAAACAGACATCACCCCAAAAATGTTGAGGAACCTCACCATGAATTAAAAGAGTACGGGTTGTTTCAATAAGGTGTCTATTCTTGCGCTCGACCACCCCATTTTGTTGAGGGGTATAAGCACAGGAAGTTTGATGAAGAATGCCATGAGAAGCCATAAATTGTTTAAACGAGTTTGAAAGATATTCACGGCCATTATCACTTCGAAAAGTTTGAATAGAGACACCAAATTGATTTTTAATTTCATGATAAAAGTTTTGGAATATAGAAAACAACTCGAACGATTTTTCATTAAAAATAACCAAGTACAATGAGAGAAATCATCAATAAAAGTAACAAAATATTGAAAACCTAAATTAGACTTAACACGATTGGGTCCCCAAATGTCGAGTGAACTAAGGCAAAGGGGGATGAAGCACGCTGGGAAACACTACGAGAAAAGGAAGTACGACTATGTTTTCCTAACCGACGGGACTCACACACCAAATTGGACAAGCTAGGATAAGCTGGGAACAAGTTGCTTGTAATTTGCGCAGATCAGGGTGACCAAGTCGAGCATGAAGAAGAGAAGGAGACTCCATAACTATGCCAACATGTGGAGAAGGTTGAAGATAATAAAGTCCATGTGACTCACATCCAGGTGCCAATCACTCTTTGCGAGCTCCGGTTCGTAGGGAAACGAAGTTTTGGTAAAAGAGATAACACAATCAAGAGATCGAGTTAGACGGCTAATGGATAATAAGTTAAAGGGGGACCCGGGTACATACAAAACATTATCAATGGACAACGAGGGAAAAAGAGTAATCGTTCCAACACCATGAGCTAAAGTTGTAGACCCATTAGCCATTGTAACGGAGGGTAAATTATGAGAAGAAGTGAAAGAGGAAAATAAGGATTTGTTACCGATAATGTGATCGGTGGCGCTCGAGTCAAGAACCCAAGGGCCAATAGAAGAAGAGTGAGTCGGACCAGCAAAAGATGTACCTGTGTGGGCAATGAAGTAGTGGAAGCTGGAGGGCTTTCGATCCTCATACCATTGAAGAAAATTATTGAAGATAGCATATTTGTCCGAAGGTACGGACGAAGGAGGATCCACGGCAGAGGATTGTGCGGAAGAATCGGTCCGAGCAACTGCAGCGAGATCGGCGAGGATAACCATGTAAAGCATAACATTTGTCAATTTTGTGGCCTAGTTTGCCACAATGGTCACACTTGACACGCCCTTTGCCCGGCTTGTGAGAGCGATTACGATCATCACGGTGAGAGGCCAAGGCGGATGAATCATTAGAAACTACAGGGGGAATATTGAGAGGTTTACATGGCACCCGCAAAGGGAGGAACTGGTAACGGTAAAACTAGGTGTAACGGGGAACCCAAAATGCGGTCACGAACAGGGGCATATTTATCGGCAAGTCCGTGTAACATCAAAACCATGAAAAACTTTGATCGTTGCTCTAATTCTTGGGCAGGAGTCGAGGCGGGGGTAATAACTCATTAAATTCATGGAGAAGAGCATGGATCTTACCCACATAATCCGCCACAAGATCCTTATCTCGAGGAGCAATAACATCAAGAAGATTGTAACAAACACCATAAAGACGTTGAGTGTCATTGGTGTATAATAATTTGGCTTGTTCCCAAACGTCATAACATGTGTCATACGATCAAAAAATTTGTTTTAAAGAAGATTGGATGATATTCTTGAGAACCATACATATATGAGCATCAACTTTCTTCCAACGGACACGATCATTGGAAGGAACATCATCTACCTTGGTAGTAAGATGATCAACATACCCCCGACTCTCAAGCCAAAGTCTAATATCGGATGCCCAAGTTGCATAATTCGTACCATCTAATTTATCAATGGGTAAATTCACATTGACATAATTAGTAAAAACAGATTGCTCGGACCCACCGGAGTCGACGAGAGGTAACTTCGAAGTGGAAGTGGCGGCGGAAGATGCCATGGAGGAAGAGAGAGAAAAACCCTAAAACACCAAAGAGGTCCGATTGGAGCAGCGAGGACAGATCCGAGAGAGGAGAAGGAGGCGACGCCGGCGCAAAGATCGACGGCACGAACGGCGGCGAGACGCGCCGCCACGCGGCGGAACAGGGAGAAGGTGGGGCGGCTTCGGGAGGCGCGTGAGGGAGCGTGGCTGCTCCGATGACTGCGAAACTTCCACGGTGGAGGTCGCACGGAGGAGGCGAGCAAAACCCCGTGCTCGGCGGTCCGAACTGCTACTCTGGCGACGGCGGCGGCGGCGGCGGCGATGGAGGCGGCGACAACTGCAGGTTCAGTGGCAGAGCCGAAAAAAAATCCCAAGAGACCTTAAGCTCTTGATACCATGTTGAATATAGGGAAAAACTGTATATGGTTAATTTCCCTTATGTATTTACCACACATAGGGCAGTGTATTTATAATAAAGAAAGGTACTCCTCAAAAGAGTAACAGAATACAAATAGAGTAAATAAAAAGATATTATTTGATATTGTGATTAACAATATCTAACAATATCTCAACAATATCAAACAATATCAACTAATATCTAATCATATCTAACATTCTTAAATGAAAGCCTTATTGAAATTTAGAAATTCTTTAAACGAAATCCACATTAGAAAAACTCTACAAGGCACAAACAACCAACGGATCACAGTTTTCCCACAAATTCAACCCCACCTACACCAACCATCATCACGGTTCCTTCCACTCAAAGCCTGTGACAGTTCATTCTACTACGCCAGTTCCCTCAGCCCCTACAACACAAGCTAGTCCAGGGGATCAACCAACTACCACCCTGTGATTTCTTATCCTTCCTCACCACAAAGTGTTTCTACAACAAAAAACACCAATACTCAAACCACAACAACAACTACTAGCAACATGAGCACAATCTAGAAACACAATAAACAACAACAAACCTAAAACAACATAAAATTTGAAAGCTCAGTATCAGAATCATATAAATCCAACACAAGGAATCAGAGATGGAGATAAATAAATTAAATTACAATAGCCAAAGGACAGACAAAAAACATGTCACAGTTTTTTAAAGCAAAAAAATCATATCAAAATATCTGAGGGGAGATAGTTCAACATATGGCAAGGAAACAATTTGAAACTACTAAAAGGATTGCTTGTAATCCCAACCACCATCAGTTGGTCTAAACAAAATCATGAACAGTTATCCCAAATCAACTCAAATAATAGAAAACAAGAACTTACCTTCACATAAAGATAGAGAGTAGGGCAAGCGATGCTGACAACGCGAGCATGGACGCCACCGCAGAGTGAGAACTTCTTTGGAGCTTCCTCCAACGTCGGATTAATGCTGCTGCTCGACGACTAATTCTTTGAGGGCAGCGACTGTGTGGGAGCTAATGTGCTGAGAACTTCTGAGACTGTGAGCACTGGCAGAGAGGAAAGTGAAATACAGAGTGGAGAGCGGGAAGGGAGAGAAGAGAAACTAAAGACAGGAAAGAAAAAATCAAAATTTAATATTATTTTATATGCAGTTGTCGTTCGGATCAGTGACGGATGTTCTTGGGAGTCGAAGGAGGACATAGCCCCTCTAAAGTTTTGGAACTCCCATGTAATTTATGATTTTGCCCCCCCCCCAAATTTAATGAACATTTAATATATTTACTTGTATATTTACAATTTTATCCTCTCAGCCCCTCCTTAGTTTTGTAACTCTCATATAATTTATGATTTTGTCCCCCTCAAACTTAATGATCATTTAATATATTTAAGTATATATCTATAATTTTATCCTTTCACCCTTTCATATTATTTCTTTTATATTTATTTATTATTTATTAATAATATATTATTTGGCCTCCCAAGATCAATGGTCAAGATTCACCACTGATTCGGATGTATGTACGCAGGTGTCAAAATATCGACACCCAATGAATTTTGAATTTTTTTTGAAAAGGAAGAACAAAGTACATTCATTAATTTCTTTACAATTTTAAAACCTTAACCTATAACAAAGCTACACACTATTCAAATTAAATGCATCTTAAGTACAACTTAACTACTTAACTATATCTTAACTACTTAAGTGTATTTTAACTGCTTAACTTACCAAAGATGGGCAATTTAAACAACAGTAAAAAGAAAATACATGTAAACTCCTAGAGCAACTTTCTAACATTTACAACTGAAACTATATCACTAAACAAAGCAAATAAATATTATTTGTCATTTGCATCAAAACAATATATTAACATTTTCTTTTCATGTTCAAAGTTGTCTTCGTATGAGTATAAGTTAAAGATGTGTCCATATGACTATAAGTTAAAAGAGAAGTCAATTGGATACAACCATAATTTGATTTTTAATCATGCTTTCTTTAATGATTTTTATTTCATAAACCATACGTAATTATTATGTGATGATTCCAAAACTACTAAAAATTATCATATTTTATGAAAATATTTTTACAAATTTTTTATGAAAATTGAAAAAAATAAGGTTTTTATAAATTTAAATAATTTTTATAAGAAAACTTATAAAAAATAATTAATTTGTACACCTTTTTCCACTAGGAACATAAGTGAAATAACATATTACGTATAATATGATTTGTATAATATGATTTAAATATACGTGAGACTATCACATATATTATGAATTGATTTTATATTAAAACCTTAATTTGATATTAAAATTAAAACTTAATTCTTTTTTTGTCTTGGACTAAAAACCATTTCATTACAGGTAAAAATTATCTTTTACTTAAGGTGTGTTAGAAGTTTAACATCATATATTCTACGACATGCTTCTCCTTTGACACTATAAATATTATTTTCAAAGTTAATTAATTATCATTATCTATAACATCAATAATAATACATAAATGATTTTATTTTTAATCATTTAATAGATTAATTATCTTAAATATTTTTTAATATAAATTAATAATTATTTATATTTTAATATATATATATATATATATATATATATATATATATATATAACATAATAAAAATTTAGAATATGTGTTTCAATTATATCATTGTGTTGTATTATATATATATATATATATATATATATATATATATATATAATAAATATAAAAATAAGTCAAGTACTTTTATCATTAATTTACATTATCAAGTTTTATTTAATACTTTTTTTATAAAATATTATTGAAGAGTATTTTTTTATTATTAAAATTATTTGAATTAAATTGTTGAATATAGAGGAAATAGGGTTTGAAATTAATCTCCCTTATGTATAAATCACACATAGGATAATCTATTTATAATAGAGAGGTACAACTAAAAGAGTAACCGAAAGTAAACAGAATAAACAGAAGATATTGTTTGATATTATGGTTAACAATATCTAACAATATCTTAACAATATCAAACTATATCTAAACAATATCTAACACTCCCCCTCAAGCTGGAGCATACAAATCGTATGTACCAAACTTGTTACAAATATAATCAATTCTAGGCCCTCGTAAAGACTTAGTGAAAATATCTGCTACCTGATCACTTGAGTTAACAAACTCAGTCTTGATATCTCCAGACATAATCTTTTCTCGAATGAAATGACAGTCAATCTCAATGTGTTTGGTCCTCTCATGAAAGACAGAATTATAACTAATATGAAGAGCAGTCTGATTGTCACACACAAGTGTCATTTGAGTGACATCTCCAAATTGTAACTCTCTAAGCAATTGCTTGAGCCAAACAAGTTCACGGGCATCCGAGACCATAACTCTATATTACTGCCTCGCACTGGATCTTGCCACAACACTTTGTTTCTTACTCTTCCATGAGATCAAGTTACCACCAATGGAGACACAATATCCGGATGTAGATCTTCTATCCGAAGGAGATCCTGCCCAATCGGCATCTCGAGTAGAAAACAACTCTTGTATGGTTATTAGAACCATATAACAATCCTTTTCCATGAGATCCTTTAATATACTTCAAGATACGAATGACTGCATTCCAATGATCTTCACATGGTGAATTAAGAAATTGACTTACCACACTGACTGCGAAAAAAAATGTTAGGACGAGTAACTGTAAGATAATTCAATTTTCCAACAAATCTTCAATACTGCTCAGGATCAGATATAGGCTCCCCCTGATTTGGTAGAAGTTTAGTATTGGGATCCATGGGTGTATCAACAGACTTTGAACTCATCGACCTAGTTTCCTCCAAAATATCTATGGCATACTTCCTCTGAGATATAACAATACCATCATTGGACTGTGCCACCTCAATACCCAAGAAATATCTAAGTTTGCCAAGATCTTTGGTCTGAAAATGGTGACAGAGATGTTGTTTCAACTGAGAGATGTCATGGTTGTCACTACTTGTAAGAACGATGTCATCAACATATACTATCAAGTAAACACATTCAGCACTCGAGTGTCGATAAAAGACAGAATGATCTGCTTCACACTGAGTCATACCAAATTGTTGAACAACCTTGCTAAACTTTCCAAACCAAGCCCTAGGAGACTGTTTTAGGCCATATAGGGATTTGTGAAGACGACATACCATCCTAGAAGACTCCCCCTGAGCAACAAACCCAGGAGGTTGCTCCATATATATTTCTTCTTGCAAATCACCATTGAGGAAAATATTTTTAACATCCAATTGATAAAGAGGCCATTGTTGAAGAGCATCCATGGCGATAAATAAACGAACAGAAGCCATCTTTGCCACAGGGGAAAATGTATCTCCATAATCCAATCCAAAATTTTGAGTATAACCTTTGGCCACAAGATGAGCTTTGAGGCGATAAATAGTACCATTAGGTCCAACTTTGATAGCAAACACCCACCTGCAACCAACAACAGATTTTCCAGACGGTAACGGGACCAATTCCCAAGTTCCACTATTATGAAGAGCACTTAGTTCATCTAACATGGCCTGACGCCAACCAGGATGGGCTAAAGCTTCACAGACAGTTTTTGGAATGGTCACAGAAGAAATAGAGGAAAGACATGTATAAAAAGATAATGACAGTCAATGATAACTCAAAGCAATATAATGGGGAGAGGGATTACGTGTAGAACAGATACCTTTTCGGAGGGCAATGGAAAGGTCAGACTCATGTGTCAGATCTGGAGGAGACAGAGTAGTTGGCACTTGAGTGGAGTCACATGGTGGTGGTTGTGATTGGTTTCGAGAACTATAAATCTGAACAGGCAGTGGAGAAGAAGCTGACTGCGGAGCAAGAACTAATGGTGAAGAAGAAACAATTAGAGGGTCACAAACAACATGAACATTAAATGTATTAGGAGTGTTGACAAGATTGGATGAAGAGAGAGGTGAAGATCGACTTTTAAAATAAAGAGACAATTCATCAAAGGTGACATCTTTTGATACAAAATAATGGTTAAGAGAAGGAGAAAAACATTTATATCCTTTTTGTGATCTTGTAAACCCTAAGAAAACACATTTATGTGATCTAGGAGAAAGCTTGTCAAGACCAGAACTGGAATTATGAACAAAACATGTAGACCCGAAAACTCTCAGAGGTAAATGATGAAGTGGTTCATGAGGGAATAAAATGGAATGAGGTATTTTATTATCTAAAACCGAAGAAGGCATGCGATTAATGAGATAACATGCAGTAAGAAGAGCATCACCCCAAAAATGTTGATGAATATCTCCATGAATTAAAAGTGTGCGAGTTATTTCACTAAGATGTCTATTTTTACGTTCAGCTACATCATTTTATTGAGGTGTATAAGCACAAGAAGTTTGATGAAAAATACCGTGAGAAGCCATGAATTGTTTAAAAGAATGAGAAAGATATTCACGACCATTATCACTACGCAAAACTCTAATAAAAACACCAAACTGAGTTTGAATTTCATTAAAAAAGTTTGAAAGATATGAAATAATTCGAACGATTTTTCATCAAAAATAACCAAGTGCATCCGGAATAATCATCAATGAAAGTAACAAAGTATTGAAAACCTAAAGTAGACTTAACGCGGCTAGGTCCCCAAATGTCGAGTGAACCACGTGCAAAAGGGGACAAAGCACCACATGTGAAACTACGAGGAAAGGAAGTACGACTATGCTTGCCTAATCGACATGACTCACACGCCAAAATAGATAAGTTGGACAAGGCAGGGACAAGTTTACGTAACTTGGCAAGACTTGGATGACCTAACTGAGCATGAAGAAGAGAGGGAGACTCCATAACTGTACTAACATGTGTAGAGGGACGGAGATAATAAAGACCATGAGACTCACATCCTGTGACAATCACCTGTTTCGAACTCCGATCCTGTAAACACACATAATTGTTGGTAAAAGTAACAACACAATCAAGAGAACGAGTTAGACGACTGATGGACAATAGGTTAAAAGGAGACCCAGGGACATAAAGAACATTATCAATGGTTAAAGAAGGAAAAAATTTAACCGTTCCAATACCATGAGATGATACTCTAGAGCCATCAGCCAGTGTAACAGAAGGTAAATGATTAGGAGAGGATAAATAGGAGAACAAAGATTTGTTACCAGTAATATGATCAGTGACTCCTGAATCAAAAATCCAAGGACCAGGAGAAAATGATTGGGTCAGACCAACAAAATATGTATTTGTATGTGTGACAGATATAGTGGAACTAGAAGACTGTTGATCCTTATACCATTCGAGAAATTTGTTGAACATAGCAGGCATGTCGGATGCAATAGAAGAAGGAGGATCCCCAGCAGATAAAGGTGGGGAAAGATTGGTCTGAACAACTGCAGCATATTGAGGAGGGGAAAGATTGGTCTGAACAACTGCAGCAAATTGAGGAGGACGACCATGTAATGTATAACACTTGTTAATCTTGTGACCTAGCTTGCCACAATGTTCACACTTAGGACGCCCTTTTCCCTGTTTGCGAGGGCGAGTCCGGTATCACGATGGGATGTCAACACAAAAGAATCGTTAACAAAATTGAAAATAGTAGAAGAAGTGGAAGAAGTCATGAAGAGCGGGAGAACAAACCCTAAAACAATCCAAAGTAATCCAATTAACCCCACAAAGCACAAATCCAAAATGAGAATACTAAAAATAAGTTCGCCAAGACTAAACAGCGCAGGAGACAACGGGACGACCAACTCCGATAGTGGTGATCTCAACGACACGGTGGTCACCTAACCGAGACAAGCAAAATCATATGTCACCGGTCAAAAAAATGAAACTCCGGCGAATTCTCCGGTAGCGGCGGATCCGGTGACTGCTCCAGCGGCAGCGGTGACAACAACGTGAACTAGTACACCAGGTAAGTTCCTAGGAAAGAGAGGTGGGTCACTAATGGACACACTTAAATACCAAGTCTTTCCTTGCCAAAACTTTCCTAGACATGCACTTTCACACTACCAAATAAAATTCAGTAACAAAGATAGTTCTTTTCTGATGTGGAGGATCAGTTTACCAGCAGCGGTGGGGCGGCTCTAGTAGCGGTGGGGTGGCTCTAACAGTGGACAAAAGACGAAAAAAAAAATTCAAGATAACCTTAAGCTCTAGATACCATGTTGAATATAGAGGAAATATAGTTTGAAATTAATCTCCCTTATGTAGAAATCACACATAGGATAATCTATTTATAATAGAGAGGTACAACTAAAAGAGTTTATAATAGAGAGGTACAACTAAAAGAGTAACCGAAAGTAAATAGAATAAACATAATATATTGTTTGATATTGTGGTTAACAATATCTAACAATATCTTAACAATATCAAACTATATCTAAACAATATCTAATATAAATGAAGTTTTGCATAATTTTTTCACAAATACTTTTTTATTTTTATGTTACAAAATATATGCTTAGAGTGTGCACTTAGTCAACTTTTAATTTAAAAAAATTTAAAATAAAAATGAAAATATTAATTTTTATTTTATTTTTAAAACTTGAATTTCAAACTTTAATTGTAAAGTAATTTAAAAAAAAAAACACATTAAACTAAACCTAACCAAATACGAAAAATGAATAAAAAATTGAAACTATTAAAATGAAGCAAGAAAACTTAATATTGATTTCGTACGGGTTTCTGACTCTCTAATAACCAAAGAAGGTGTGGTTGGTGGAGCCCCTTGAAGATGAGGTGGCAGCGGTTCTTTGGATTTGGAGAGTGAACATGTGAAGGAAAATCCAAGACTCATACAAAGACTCATACTACTCAACTCGGACATGAGTCTTGAAACTCAATAATAATATCATCTACAAGGTTCCAATGCCATGTTACCTTTTCCGAGTCCATTACATTAGATTTCCTTTCCCTTATGCTTCCCATGACTACACTTGTTCAATTCTCTATCAAATGCTCGCACTTGAAGCCCAAGTTCTTCAATGACGGCATATACAAGAGACCCACTTTCCCTTTCTCTCGGATACAAGCAAAGTTTGGTCCTTTTAATGGGAATAGCTTGAAACTGAGAGCAGGCAGGGAAAGCTTGTGCTTCTTGGGAGGTGCACTGTTTAAAAATGGGGTTTTGTTGGAAGAGAAGGGGTACAAGAGGGAAAAGAGAGTGGTGGTGGTGAAGAATAATCAGGGTTTTGGCTTCAACGGTGGTGGTGGTGGTGGAAGAGATGATGGTGCCACTGCTAGGCTTTTGGGAAATGTTGCTTTAGCTATTGGACTGACTTACCTTTCTGTGACTGGACAACTTGGTTGGATTTTGGATGCTATTGTCTCCATTTGGGTATTCTTCAATATTCTCTCCCTTGGTTTCTTTTGTCGTATCATTTTCTTGAAATATGAAAGTGCATATTAATTTCTGTATATGCTATGTTCTTACTTTCCATCTGGTTTTTGAGTTATCTTGTTGTTACTGTGCTGAGTGGTTTAGTACTTTTAACTGAGTCCATACCTTTTCATGGTTTTCTTTAGAAACCTTAAGATTGTACCGAGGCTCATCCTGTTGCTTTTATCATCCAATATATGGAAATCTTCTTGTACAGGAAATTCATTTGTACACTACTGCAGAAGAAGAAAGCAACAAGAAAGAATAAATAACAGAGGAACCAAATATGAGAGTACTTGATTAATTGTGTAATTTATCATGGCAGAGTCTATCAAATAGGTTTTCCTGACAGAACCTTTTACATTCCTCATATAATTTCCATTTTCCTGGTATCTTTCCCATCTTCTAATTGAATTCATATAAATCTAGTTCTAGTCTAACAGTTTTATTTTATTTTATTTGGATAGGAAATTAAATTAGAATTTGGTGAAGGATAATTTTTAATATAAACAACTATATGCTGTTAGACTATTTGTGTAGTGGTGGTCAGCATTGGCAGTTAATCTGGTAGAAGTGCTACATGATCATATCAAACATGTTTGGGGTTTAACCAGAAAAAAAAGAATCAGGTTCTCAGTCTAGAAGCTCTTAACATTATTTTAGTGATTAGTCTTCTAGTTGACTGAGGCAAACTTTGTGTTTCAATGCAAGTGATATAAAATATCCGCCTTTAGGAAACTGTATTAAATAGGAACAATATACGTGTATATTGGATATTATATACTCGGCTTCAATAATATTGTGGAAATCCGCTGTTTGGTGCCCTTTTTCTATAATTCTTCGTGTTAGATTGAACACCTAGGATTCATCTCCTCTTTCCTCTCTGGTCTATCCTATCAATTGATATCAGCTTGTTCGATCTAGGTAAATCTTTGGCTATGGCGAATGCTACGTGTAGTGCTCAGTTGATTAAAGATATCGAAGAATGAGTGTCATTGGGCATGGATTCTCGTTTCATGGAATTGGTAGCATCTTTGCAACAGACGTTGACAACATCTTTAAAAGAAATGGTGCAAGATTTGATGAAACAAAAGATTGATGAGGAACCACTTGTGGTTTCCCATTCACAAGGGGAACTATCATCCTTCTCCGAATGTTTGTGGGATAAGGTTAGCCCGGATAGATTTTCCTAGTTTTAACGGAGAAAATATTAGTCAATGAATATGTCAATGTGACAACTACTTCTCGATTGATAATTCCCTTGAAGAATTTAAGGAGAAGTTGTGCATTTGGATGGATGGGCATTACACTGGCACACAGTGCTGGCTAAAACTTTTCCAGCTGACTCTTTTATCTTGGAGGAATTACACTAAGAGGTTAATTGAATGTTTTGGTAATATATTTGATGATCTGATGGCTGAATTAATGCGATTACGACAAAATGTTCTATTAGCAATTATCATAAAGAGTTTGATTCAATTTTTACCAGATTGAATTTTTCAGATGAATATATTTCGAGCTGTTTCCTTGGAGGTCTCAAGAAAGATATTCAGATGATGGTTCATATGTTTCAGTCCACGACAGTTTTCAAAGCTTTTGTGTTAGCTAGGGTGTATGAAGCTGCCAACGCCTCGAATGATCAAATGAGTACACAATACAAGGGTCAAAAAGGTGTTTTAGGACTAGGATCTTTGAGTAATTCACCTACCTTAACATCTACTATGTCTTCTAAACCAAGACAATCAAGAAACTTGACCCCTGCATATATGACTGAAAGAAGATCGAAAGGGCTCTGTTATTTTTGTGATGAATCGTATTCTACATAACACAACTTGGCACATAAGAATCTTCAAGTGCATGTTCTGGAAGTGGATGATTAAGATGTATCGGGGGAGGAAGAAAAGGTTGTTGGTTCCTGTAAAGATAAAAAAGATACGAAACCTTAAATTTCAGTTCATGCATTAACAGGAGTGACAAGATTTAGAACAATGAAGGTTACAGGGTACCACAGAAAAAGGCTATTACATATATTGATTGACAGTGGAAGTACGCATAATTTCTTAGATGTTCAGGTTGCTAAGAAATATGGTTGCACAATTGAACAGTTGCATCTAGTCAATGTGGTGGTGGCGGATGGGTCTAAACTCCAAATTTATTCAATAGTTAGAAACTTTAGTTAGACTATCCAACACACTACCTTTACAGCAAATATGTTGCTACTGCCTTTAGGCTGTTGTGATCTGGTATTGGGGATTGAGTGGTTAATCACATTAGAAGATATTATGTGGAACTTTGATAAATTGGCTATGGAGTTTTGGATCCCGGGAGAACTTTATATTTTAAGGGGAGCCATGTCCATTAAGGTGAAGACAACTAAGAAGCAACAATTGCATAAGGCTTTTGCCGAGGTAGTGCATATTTCGATGATACAATTGGGTATGGGTGAAGGCACCTTGTTAAATTTATTAAGTACTTATGTGGAACAACCTACCATACCTATGGAAGTAGAGTAGTTGTTGTTCGATTTTGAGGATATCGTCCAGGAACTTCTTCATTTACCACCTTTTAGACAGGGACATGATCACAAGATTCCCTTACTTCAAGGAGCTAACCTATTAAATATAAGACCATACCACTATGCAAAAAACTAAAGAGATATTATTGACAAGCTTGTACAGGAATATTTTAAATTTGGAGTGATTCAAGACATTAGTAGCCCTTATGCCAGTTTGGTGGTTTTGGTAGGAAAGAAAGATGACTCATGGAGATTATGTGTCGATTATAGGGAGTTGAACAAAAACATTGTGAAGAACAATGTCCCAATCCCATTGGTGGATGATTTGTTAGATGAGATGAAAGGGTTTACAATATTTACTAAAAGTGATTTAAGAGCTGGCTATAATCAGGTGAGAATGAATCTAGTGGATGTGTGCAAAACAACTTTTCGGACGCATGGGGGCACTATGAGTATGTTGTGATGCCCTTGGCCTCACCAATGCCCTGCTACTTTCCAAGGACTCATGAACGTTGTTTCAACAATTTCTAAGGAAATTCTTACTAGTTTTTTTTAACAATATTGTCATATATAGTGGAAATTTGACAAATCATTTGGTACACTTGAGGAAGGTTTTTCTTACCCTTAGAACTAATTCTCTATTTGCAAGGAGATCCAAATTGTTATCAAATTGAGATTCGAATCCTAAATCGTTTTCACGATTTTTTTAATCGTGAATCGAATCTTATTATGAATTGTAAGATACATGATAAATAAAAAATGATATTTTTCAGTAAAAATAAGTGACAAAAAAAACATTAAAAGTATTATATATTAGAATGAAGTCAAAATATTCAATCCATAAAACCAAAACATAATAATAAATGTCACTTAAATCCTATATTTAAATCTTATGCTTTCATTCATTATCTTTGAGATCTGTTAAGGTTCCAACATAAAACCAATTGGCAATACGTGGAGTAGCCTAACATGTATTTAAACCATACCAAATGATATGAGGTAGGCGATGTGGGACTTTCAACACACCCCCTCCAACGAAGCCTGCCGGACCAGGCAAAGGGTACTTTTGACCCAACTAAAGGGCAACTTTTGGCCCATGACAATAACCGGAAAGATGTTAGGCTTTGGCTCTGATACCATGTTAAGGTTCCAACATAAAACTAATTGGCAATACGTGGAGTGGCCTAACATGTATTTAAACCATACCAAATGATATGAGGTAGGCGATGTGGGACTTTCAACAAGATCAATGTCACTTAGATCATTTTCTTCCTGTAAAAGAATTAAGTAAGAAATGGCAAATTGAATGTTAAAATAACCAAAAAAGCATTATTCAAATAAAATTAAAAATCAAGTAATGAATCATGATGCACTTTAATGGCATGATGCACTCTAATGGCTTGCGTCAGAGGATTAAAAAAAAAAAAAATGAATGTTAAAGTAAACAAATAAAAGGGGTGTAGCGATGCATGCAATGGATTATGGGTACAATTTAATGGCATGTGTCGGAGGATTAACAAAGGGGTGCAGTATCAATGCATTTTACATTGCAAATTCAGTTATAAAAAATCAGAAAAAGACAATTAATAACGCAAGGTCATAATCAGAAATCATAAAAAGTAAATGTCATGTTCAATTTCAATCAGAAAAAACAATTTCTTCTTCTACACTACACACTCTCACCTTTCTTCTTTTACATTATGCACTCTCAACCGCTGTTTTTTTTTTCTTACCGCTGCACTGTTGCGTTTTTTCTTCTCACTGTTGCACCTTTCTTCTTCTACACACTCTCATCGCAGCGCTGCGCCTTTCTTTTTCCACACATGCACCTTTCATCTTCTGTACACTCTCACTATTTCTTACCGTTCTCAATATATAGTAGTTTGTTATGTGTGTCCTTTCGCTCCATTCACCTTTTTTTATTTTTTTTGAGCGTCGCTTCGATTTAGCCATTCACTTTGTTCTTTTGCTTACCCATTGCTTTTTTCTTTCCACTAAAAGCACATATTCTAGAATCGTGCGCAATAAAGTTGAATTGAGAATCCCGTGATTTAAGTTTGATTCATCCGATTCAAAGTATAAAATGATACATTCAATAAATTGTATCGCAAAGTAAGATTTTTGAAACAAATCACGATTCAAATCGTACTATTAGTATTGTTAGATATGATTAGATATTAGTTGATATTGTTTGATATTGTTGAGATATTGTTAAATATTGTTAATCACAATATCAAATAATATCTTTTTATTTACTCTATTTGTATTCTGTTACTCTTTTGAGGAGTACCTTTCTTTATTATAAATACACTGCCCTATGTGTGGTAAATACATAAGGGAAATTAACCCTATACAGTTTTTCCCTATATTCAACATGGTATCAAGAGCTTAAGGTCTCTTGGGATTTTTTCGGCTCGCCACTTGAACCTGCAGTCTGCCGCCTCCATCGCCGTCGCCACCGCCGTCCGCCGCTCGCCGTCGCGGAGTAGCGGTTCGGACCGCCGAGCACAGGGTTTTGCTCGCCTCCCGTGCGACCTCCACCGTGGAAGTTTCGCGGTCATCGGAGCAGCCACGCTCCCTCACGCGCCTCTCGAAGCCGCGCCACCTTCTCCCGTTCGCTGCGCGTGGCGGCGCATCTCGCCGCCGTTCAGGCCGCCGATCTTTGCGCCGGCGTCGCCTCCTTCTCCTCTCTCTGGATCTGTCCTCGCTGCTCCAATCGGACCTCTTTGGTGTTTTAGAGTTTTTCTCTCTCTTCCTCCATGGCATCTTCCGCTGCCACTTCCAATTCTGAAGTTACCTCTGTCAGCTCCGGTGGGTCTGAGCAATCTGTTTTTACTAATTATGTCAATGTGAATTTACCCATTGATAAATTAGATGGTACGAATTATGCAACTTGGGCATCTGATATTAGACTTTGGCTTGAGAGTCAAGGGTATGTTGATCATCTTACTACCAAGGTAGATGATGTTCCTTCCAATGATCGTGTCCATTGGAAGAAAGTTGATGCTCATATATGTATGGTTCTCAAGAATACCATCCAATCTTCTTTAAAACAAATTTTTCGATCGTATGGCACATGTTATGACGTTTGGGAACAAGCCAAATTATTATACACCAATGACACTCAACGTCTTTATGGTGTTTGTTACAATCTTCTTGATGTTATTGCTCCTCGAGATAAGGATCCTGTGGCGGATTATGTGGGTAAGATCCATGCTCTTCTCCATGAATTTAATGAGTTATTACCCCCTGCCTCGACTCCTGCCCAAGAATTAGAGCAACGATCAAAGTTTTTCATGGTTTTGATGTTACACGGACTTGCCGATAAATATGCCCCTGTTCGTGACCAGATTTTGGGTTCCCCTGTTACACCCAGCTTTACCGCTACCAGTTCCTCCCTTTTGCGGGTGCCATGTAAACCTCTCAATATTCCCTCTCGTAGTTTCTAATGATTCATCTCGCCTTGGCCTCTCACCGTGATGATCGTAATCGCTCTCACAAGCCAGGCAAAGGGCGTGTCAAGTGTGACCATTGTGGCAAACTAGGCCACAAAATTGACAAATGTTATACTTTACATGGTTATCCTCGCCGATCTGCTGCAGTTGCTCAGACTGATTCTTCCGCACAATCCTCTGCTATGGATCCTCCTTCGTCTGTACCTTCAGACAAATCTGCTATCTTCAATGATTTTCTTCAATGGTATGAGGATCGAAAGCCCTCCAGTTCCACTACTTCTGTTGCCCACACAGGTACATCTTTTGCTGGTCTGACTCACTCTTCTTCTATTGGCCCTTGGGTTCTTGACTCAGGCGCCACCGATCACATCACTGGTAACAAATCCTTATTTTCCTCTTTCACTTCTTCTCATAATTTACCCTCTGTTACAATGGCTAATGGGTCTACAACTTTAGCTCATGGTGTTGGAACGGTTACTCTTTTTCCCTCGTTGTCCATTGATAATGTTTTGTATGTACCCGGGTCCCCCTTTAACTTATTATCCATTAGCCGTCTAACTCGATCACACAAATGTGTTTTCTTAGGATTTACTCGATCCCAAAAAGGATACAAGTGTTTTTCTCCTTCTCTTAATTGCTATTTTGTGTCTGCCGATGTCACCTTCAATGAGTTTTCCTTTTACTTTAAGGACCCTACCCTACCTGCTGAGTCTCCATCTGCTACAGTTCCCATTCCTGTTCTCATTGATCCTTATGTTGAGGACCATCCACCATTAGCCCCTCCTCCTCCACCACCCCTTCAGGTTTATAGTCGCAGACCTCGCCCACAACAGACGCCACATGACTCACTCCCGAGTGCCAAATACTCTGCCTCCTCCGGTTCAGTCCACGAGTCTGACCTTCCTATTGCCCTTCGTAAAGGTATGCGTTCTACTCGTAATCCTTCTCCACATTATACTCGCTTTAAGTTATCATCGAATTTCTTCACCATTTTATACCTGTCTCTCGTCTATTTCTTCTGTGTCTATTCCTAAATCTGTCTCTCGAAGCCTTAGCCCACCCTGGTTGGCGTCAGGCCATGCTAGATGAACTCGGTGCTCTTCGAGACTAGTGGAACTTGGACGCTTGTCCCATTACCATCCGGAAAATCTGTTGTTGGTTGCGGGTGGGTCTTCGCTATCAAGGTTGGTCCTGATGGTACTATTGATCGCCTCAAAGCTCGCCTTGTAGCCAAAGGCTATACCCAAATTTTTGGGTTGGATTATGGTGATACTTTCTCTCCAAGTGGCAAAGATGGCTTTTGTTCGTTTATTCATTGCCATGGTCTGCTATTCAACAATGGCCTCTTTATCAACTCGGATGTCAAAAATGCTTTCTTGAATGGCGATTTGCAAGAAGAGATTTATATGGAGCAACCTCCGGATTTGTTGCTCGGGGGAGTCTTCGGATTGGTATGTTGTCTTCGCAAATCTTTATATGGCCTAAAACAGTCTCCTAGGGCCTGGTTTGGAAAATTTAGCGGCGTTGTTCAACAATTTGGCATGACTAGAAGTGAGGCAGATCACTCGGTCTTTTACCAGTCACTCGAATGCTTTGGATGTATCTATTTGATAGTGTATGTCGATGACATTGTTCTTACAGGTAGTGACCATCATGGCATCTCTCGGATGAAACAACACCTTTGCCACCATTTTCAAACCAAAGATCTTGGCAAACTCGGATATTTCTTGGGTATTGAGGTAGCACAATCTACCGATGACATTGTTATATCTCAAAGAAAGTATGCATTGGATATTTTGGAGGAAACCTGGGTTGATGAATTCAAAGCCTGTTGACACACCCATGGATCCTAATACCAAACTCTTGCCAAATCGGGGGAGCCAATGTCGGATCCTGAACAATATAGAAGATTAGTTGGAAAATTAAATTATCTTACGATTACTCGCCCGACATTTCCTTTGCGATCGGTGTGGTGAGTCAATTCCTCAATTCTCCTTGTCAAGATCATTGGAATGCGATCATCCGTATATTGAAGTACATCAAAAAGTCTCCTGGAAAAGGTTTGGTGTATGACTCCCATAATCATACAAGAGTTGTCTGCTATTCGGATGTCGATTGGGCAGGATCTCCCTCCGATAGAAGATCTACATCTCGGGTATTGTGTTTCCATTGGTGGTAACTTGATCTCACGGAAAAGTAAGAAACAAAGTGTTGTGGCAAGATCCAGAGTGCAGAAACGAGTATAGAGCTATGGCCTCGGCTACCTGTGAACTTATTTGGCTCAAGCAATTGCTTAAAGAGCTACAATTTGGAGATGTCACTCAAATGACACTAGTGTGTGACAATCAGGCCGCTCTCCATATAAGCTCTAATCCTGTCTTTCATGAGAGGACTAAACACATTGAGATTGACTCGCCATTTTATTCGGGAAAAGATTATGTCTGGAGACATCAAGACTGAGTTCGTTAACTCATGTGATCAATTAGCGAGATATTTTCACTAAGTCTTTACGGGGACCTAGGATGGATTATCTTTGTACCAAGCTTGGCACATACGATTTGTATGCTCCAGCTTGAGGGGGAGTGTTAGATATGATTAGATATTAGTTGATATTGTTTGATATTGTTGAGATATTGTTAGATATTGTTAATCACAATATCAAATAATATCTTTTTATTTACTCTATTTGTATTCTGTTACTCTTTTGAGGAGTACCTTTCTTTATTATAAATACACTGCCCTATGTGTGGTAAATACATAAGGGAAATTAACCCTATACAGTTTTTCCCTATATTCAACAAGTATGATTCTAACTACCATTTTATTTTGGCGGAAGGAGTTGCCATAGACTTAATTAAGATTGAGGCAATAATTAAATGGCCTTTGCCTCAATCTCTCAGACAACTAGGAGGATTCTTGGGATTAGTGGGTTATTATAGAAGATTTGTGAAAAATTATGGGGTAATAGCTAAATCTTTAAATGATATGTTGAAGAAAGACAACCTTATTTGGACTAAGAGTGCTAGACAGACATTCTAACATCTTAAAGAGCTATTAAATACCACACTAAACCTGTGTTAACTTACCTTTGTGATAGAGGTGTTGAAAACTGGACGTCCGTACTGCATGTAGTTTTCTGTGTCGCAGCGCTTAGCGCGTCTTTGTTCTCGCTTAAGCGTGAGTTTTTTTAATTTTTCTATTTTGCGCTTTGTTTCAACTCTATATATAGCTCTTATGTTTCATTGATTAATATACAAGAAAATAAACGTTTCCTCGTTTTTCATTTCTTCTCTTTCTCCTCCCCATCTTGCTCTGCTTTTCGTTCCCAAGCACTGTTCACTATCTCCTTCACGTGTGAATCTACAATGGATGCTCCAAGCCACGTATTCTTTGCGGAAAGCATGATCTCTGATATGGTATCAGAGCTCTTCATTTGAAGAGTTCTGTTGTGTACTCTGATCCTCTTCATTTCCTCTTTTGCACCGTTTCTTGTTTGATGGAAGAAAAAGAAGCCATTCGTCAAATTCCAATTATGGAAGATTACCTGTTCATACATCCCAGTGAAAATCCTGCTACTAGTCTTGTTTCTCCCGTTCTTGATACGAATAACTATCATTCTTGGTGCCGTTCAATGATAACAACATTAAGTGCGAAAAAAAAACTGGAATTTGTGGACGGAACTGCATCGGAACCTGACAAGAATGACCCGTCTTATGTTGCATGGAAGAGGTGCAACAATATGGTTGTTTCTTGGATTGTGTATTCTGTATCCCCGTCTATTCAACAGAGTATATTATGGATGGATAAGGTTGAAGAAATTTTGGTCGATCTAAGGTCTCGATACTTCTAGGGAAATATGCTTCGCATTTTAGACTTGCAGATGGATGCCTCAACGCTTAATGAAGGAGATCTTTCGATTACTGAGTTCTTCACAAAACTTAGAGTTATATGGGATGAAATCGATAATTTCACACCTGATCCCATATATGTTTGCAGTATTAAATGTTCTTGCGCTGCCTTCAACATCATTGCTCAGAGAAAAAAGGAAGACCAAGCAATGCAATTCCTTAGAAGCTTAAATGAACAATACGCAAATATTAAGTCCCATGTCCTTCTCATGGATCCCATTTCTCCCTTGTCCAAGATATTCTTTTACGTTGTGCAACAAGAAAGACAATTACTGGGTAATAATCTTAATTCGAATCTTGATTCTAGAATTAACAACATTAGTTCAAACAATTGCAGATTTTGCGGACGCATTGGACATACAAAAGTTGTGTGTTATAAGAAGCATGGTTTTCCTAATAACCAAGATACCAAGATACCAAGAACGGAAAGAATAAGAAAATATGCACACACTGTGGGAGAACTGGACACACTATAGATATCTGCTACAAGAAACATGGCTACCCATCGGGACATAAATTCTCGAACGCCAAGAACAACATTAATCACATTGAAGCACCAAAAAAAAAATTCCCTGATAATTAATAAGTGAGATTGTCTCAGCCACAATATCAAGCTCTCATGACATTAATTAAGCAATCAGGAATCAAAACTGATGCATCCATAGCCTAACCTACTATGTGCTCCTTGACTTCACAAAACATGTTAAGCAAAAATGGAGGTAATATCCATCCAACTATTAATAATATCAATGGTAAATTTAGTCCTTGGATACTTGACTCCGGTGCCACGGATCATGTATCTTGTTCCTTATCCAATTTTCTTTACCAAAAGCAAATCAAATCTGTTATGGTTAATCTTCCTAATGGGAAGTGCACTTATGCCACTCATATGGGAACTGTGAAATTGAATGATAGAATAGTTCTTTCAAATGTACTCTATATTCCTGGCTTCTCATACAATATCATATCTGTTTCGAAGCTTGCTACTGATAACGATTACAAATTTTTTTTTCATTCAAATTCTTGTTTTATACAGGATAGCAAGAACAATGCGAAGATTGGTTCAGTTGAGATAAGGAATTGACTCTTGTTAAGGTTCCAACATAAAACTAATTGGCTATATGTGGAGTAGCCTAACATGTATTTAAACCATACCAAATGATATGAGGTAGGCGATGTGGGACTTTCAACACACCCCCTCCAACGAAGCCTGTCGGACCAGGCAAATGGTACTTTTGACCCAACTAAAGGGCAACTTTTGGCCCATGACAATAACCGGAAAGATGTTAGGCTTTGGCTCTGATACCATGTTAAGGTTCCAACATAAAACCAATTGGCTATATGTGGAGTAGCCTAACATGTATTTCAACCATACCAAATGATATGAGGTAGGCGATGTGGGGCTTTCAACAACTCTATATACTAAGATTGAGTGCTGAAAAACAATGCTTTACAAATTCATTCAATATCTTGAATAATCATGTTTCTAGGAATCTAGACATTTGGCATGCAAGATTTTGTTTGTGATGCATGTCAGTCTGCTAAACAAAGAAAACTTCCCTTCCTTATAAGCCTTTCTCGTACAAAAGCTACTTTTGATCTCATACATGCAGATATATGGGGGCCTTGTGCTGATGTTTCTATGCTAGGAAACAAGTATTTCCTTACCATCGTGGATGATTACAGTAGATTTACATGGATATATCTCATGAAATTGAAATTTGAGGCTCGTGATTATGTTAGGAAATTCATTGCCTATGTCGAGAACCAGTTTAAGAAAACTATAAAATGTATAAGGTCCGATAATGGGTTAGAATTCAGTATGCCAGACTTCTTCAATGAAAAGGGTATCATCCATCAGACCTCTTGCATAGAAACACCCGAGCAGAATGGGATAGCTGAAAGAAAGCACCAACATATCCTCAATGTCACGCGTGCTCTTCTTTTCCAGTCCAATCTTTCCCGAAAATTTTGGTGTTATGCAGCTTTACATGCGGTACATTTAATAAACTGTATCCCTACACCCATGCTCAATGATTCTTCTCCTTTCGAAAAACTGAATGGTAAAAATTGTGATATCAGTAATTTGTGCATATTTGGATGTTTATGTTATGCTAATACTCTAACTGTCCAAAGGAAGAAGCTGGATCCTAGAGCCAATCCTTGCATTTTTCTTGGATTTCAAAACAACACAAAGGGATATTTAGTGCTTGATCTTGTCACCCACAAAATAATTGTTTCAAGAAATGTGGTCTTTTTCGAAAATATATTCCCCTATAGTAAGAATATGAACTATGAGAATGAAGGTAATTGTCTCTCATTGCCCAATAATGTTGTTAATAAAATCCATGATGATGTAACATTACCTGAGTATGGTCACAATGCTGATAATAATGTTTCGGAATCATGTAATATAGGTGATACCACTCACAATGAAATTGAAAACAACAACGATGAATGAAATGATATTGCTTACAATGATAACAAATTGTTTGATATAGCTGACAATAAATTGAATCTTCCTAGAAAATCATCAAGGATGAAACAACAGCTTGGTCATTTGCAAGACTATTATGTTACCATTAATCATATAAATCCTAAAAATCATCTTCAAAGCAAATACAAAATTGGAAAATATATGTCTTATAGCAGGTTATCAGAAGGGTTCAAACGTTTTATTCTCTCTACTGATGCTCAAAAGGACATATCAGGAAGCCTGCCAACATGAATGCTGGACAACTGCTATGAGATCTGAGATTGAAGCCTTAGACTTGGACGATTACCTCCCTTCCATCGAATAAGACTCCTATAGGGTGTAAGTGGGTCTTCAAAATCAAGTATAAGACTGATGGAACTGTTGATAGGTACAAGGCGAGATTAGTTGTCAAAGGCTAAACACAGTTGGAGAGCCTTGATTTCCTCGACACTTTCTCACCTGTAGCTAAGCTAATCACGGTTAGAACCCTATTAGCTGTAGCCGTTGCAAATGAATGGGAATTGAAACAATTGGACGTCAACAATGCTTTTTTACACGGAGACTTGCATGAGGAAGTGTTTATGGAAGCACCACCTGGGATCACGGGAATCTCACCAAGAAAAGTGTGTAAGTTGCACAAATCTCTTTATGGTTTAAAACAGACAAGTAGACAATGGTATGAGAAATTATCCAGCTTCTTATTATTACATGGATATATTCACTCTAATGCAAATCATTCCTTGTTTATGAAATATGATGAAAATGATAAAACTATGATTCTTGTATACGTAGATGATATATACTTACAAGTAATAATGTTTCTGAGATTGAAAGAATTACAGTTTTGTTGAACAAGGAATTTAAGATAAAAAATATTGGAAACTTAACATACTTCTTAGGTATTGAAGTCGCAAGGAACTTGATCGGTATTCATCTATCGTAAAGACGGTATGCTCTTGATCTCTTAGAAGAAACGGGAATGAGTTCATGTGCTCCTGTTCCTACTCCTATGGTTCCCAATGCTAAGCCTTCCAACAATAAAGAGTGTCTGTTAATTGACATTGCTGCTTTCAGAAGACTTATAGGAATGTTGATTTATCTCACTAACACTAGGCCTGATATCACTCACGCTGTGCATCACCTCAGTCAGTTCGTTGTTGCTCCTACTATGGATCATCATCAAAAAGTCATGCATATTCTACGGTATTTGAAAGGAACTCCTGGTAAAGGGATATTTCTCACTGCCAACAACGATTTACAGATTAAAGCTTATAGTGATTCCGATTGGGCCAATTGTCGAGAAACCAGAAGATCTATTACTGGGTATATAACATATTTAGGTAACTCTCCCTTATCTTGGAAGTCTAAGAAACAACCCACTGTTTCCAGAAGCTTGACAGAGGCTGAGTATAGAGCATTGGCTTCTACTGAATGCGAAATTCAGTGGATTACTTATCTCTTGAATGATTTGAAGGTTAATTGTTCCAAGCCAACACTGATTTATTGTGACAGTCAATCCGCAATCCAGATTACTTCAAATCAAGTTTTCCATGAAAATACCAAACATATTGATATAGATTGTCATATCGTTCTTGAGAAGGTTTGCACTGGATTTGTTAAAATTCTTCCCGTTTCCTCTATCGTGCAGTTAGCTAACATCCTTACAAAAGCGCTACCTTCTACCTTTTAAGTGGCAAGCTAGGAATAAGTAATATATATTCCCAGCTTGAGGGGGACTGTTGAAAATCGGACGTTCGTACTGCATGGTTTGCATGTAGTTTTTTGTGTCGCAGTGCTTAGCGCGTCTTTGTTCTCGCTTAAGTGGGCTTTTTTATTTTTCTGTTTTGCGCTTTGTTTCAACTCTATATATAGCTCTTATGTTTCATTGATTAATATACAAGAAAATAAATGTTTCCCTGTTTTTCATTTCTTCTCTTTCTCCTTCCCATCTTGCGCTGTTTTTAGTTTCCAAGCACTGTTCACTATCTCCTTCACGCGTGAATCTGCAATGGATGCTCCAAGCGACGTATTCTTTGCGGAAAGCATGATCTCTGATAAGAGGTGGACACTTCTGGCTGTGGAAGT